AGGCCAACCAGGTAAGGGCTCCGGATGAGATTGAACCCCCTGACGTAAGAAGGCGTGCCAAAAACACCCCTTGCTCGTACCGACTAGACGGGCAGCGGCACCCCCATTTGCCATTTCCACCCCAAACCGTCTCTTCCTTCCTTTTTCTAGACCCAGGCTAGCGATGATACCAATGGTAAATGGTACCCCCCGAGGAAGCAAGGTCATTCGTTCGTCCTGGCGGCGGACGGCAAGGCAGCTCACCTTGCCGCTCCTGGTTCGGAGCGCGCACCCTTGGGTCGAGGTGGGCAAGAAATGGGACGGAGCGGCCGTCCCAGACTAGAAGCCGAAATCGAAAGATAAAAAAAAAAGGTCGTGAGTTACATGTACCCCCTCCCCTCTCCACCGCCGCCCTTTTTTTCCCTTTATTTCTTCGACGCTACACTAGTGCGGAAGGGAATTTAGAGATGAAGCTGGCTCAAGTGTCGCGCGGCGCGGCGCCCAGGAGATGGAAAAGGCGGAGGCGATCGGAAAGTCGGGGATCCGTGGTTTTGACTCGTTCGCCCGCAGGAACCCCCGACTCAGGCAGGGCTCGCTCGTAGACTTTTGGAAGAAAAGGTGATCAACGATGACGCTTGCCATGCCTCGCTACTACTGCCACTGAATCGACACACGCAGTCAGAGTGTGTGCGGTGGAAGCGGGTACAAGGGACAATGCAGCCCATGCCAACACGCTGTTGTGGCGATGCTAGCATCTTCTTTTTTCCTGTGTGTACATGTATTCCGCCCTCCACACCCACTACTCTCTCTCCACATTCGCCATGATTTGGACGTGACGTTTTAACCTCTGTGTGCTGTTGTCATAACGAGCCTGCGCTGCCGGTTCGGCAAAGGAAGCCAGGGAGATTTGACGATGCATCGTGGGCATGCCTATGGCTGAAGGACGGGGGGTCTTGTTTATTGTTTCGGGAGTGCCATCATCCTCCCGGTTGCTGCTGTTGGGGGCCTGTCGGGCGCCCTCCGGCGACATGTCCTGTCTTGTCTTGTCGTGTCTTGTCTTGCGTTGCATCGTATCCTGCACAGATCTCCATGGGAGCATGCGCCGCATTGATATTGAATGCCTGCGCACCGGGCTCGCCCAGCCGTTCGAGCGCCGCGCCGCAAAACCACCGCATCGTCGCATCCAGCCACACACCCAGGCAGGTCTGGGGCCCATGGCTCGGACGTTCCACTGGATTTGCCATTGACCAGCGGGCATCAGGTGCTCCGGGTGTCCGCCCTAAGAGGCCCGGCCGACTGTCAGGCGGTCTTCCTCCTGCCTTTCGGGGCGACTTGCCCATTGCATCGAGATGCGGCCCCGGCGATAAATAGTGTACGCCCTCTGACGCAGGTGGTCGCCCCCCGTTGTTTGCTTGACTCGTGGTGTTGTGGAAGAGACAGACGTGTCCAGCCGGCGGCACGGGGCAAGGGGAGAGGGGGGGGGGCAATCTTTTAGGAGCGGAGAGGCAAGAGGGATGGATGGGTGGGTGACCAGGTGGAAAATAGGTGGCGGGCGGCGAGGAACCAGCTGGCCCAGGGTACATTAGCAGCTGCAGTGGCGGGCCGAGCGGTGTCCAGGGCGGCTTCTTGGCGGCATCTTCCAGCGCCTGTAGCGCTCCGTATGCGCTGGAAAGTTCCCGGCCAGACGGGGCCTGTCCGCCCCAGCCGGCTTGGGGCTAAGTCGGAACGGGGCGGTCAGGCATGAGAAGGTAAGGTAGTAGGTATGGTAGACATGTCTTCAATGGTAAGGACGGCCGAGACTTGGAACTGAGGTGGAACATGGCATGGACGCCCCGCGATCTGCCTGGGATGAGAGCGGAATATGCAATACCTGCGGTGCCTACCTATACGTGCCTATGTAGGAGGCATGTACACGTAATGTCCTTGCAGGATGTTGGGGCTTTCCCCCACCGTGGGGGATGAGAGTGATTTATTAGGTCGGGTAATGCAAGTAGGTAGCATATTGAATGCAAGCAGCGACGCCCACATTATCAGACACAGGTGGGTTTTAATGAACAGCATTGGTACCAATCTCCCCCTCTTTGAGACCCCCTCCACCTGCCGCCCCCTTAAGGCACCCTGGGCTTTCTTCCCATTGCAGCGTCAAACCCCCAAAGATCCCTTTCCCCACTTGGCTTGCGTCCCTTGACCCCCCCTCTCGTTCTAAAACCCGAGCGCAGGTGCCTTGACTGTCATCAAATACCATATTTCGGGGGATGGACTCTCCTTGCCGTGGCCCATGTTCTTCTGCAGCAACAGGTACTTGGTGCTTTCGGGAGTCTTTGTGCGTGTGTGTATGTGTGTGTGTATGTGTGTGTGTATGTGTGTGTGTGTGTGTGTGTGTGTGTGTGTGTGTGTGTGTGTGTATTGGTCCTGTTACTGTACCTCAGGTCCTTTTTGCTCCCCTGTCCTGGCTCTCTTGAATCCCTTGCCTTGTCTTGTCACGGGCCTCGCATCATCCTGCAGCAACTCACTCACACCTCAACTTTTATACTTTATTTTTTTTTTCTCTCAATGCTGCGCTGCGCTGTGCTGGGTGTTGGATGTGCCGTACTCCTCTCTCTCTCTCTCTCCTTTGCCGTCAAATTAAGAGGAATCCCGTGTTCTGCACCCGCTATCCCTTTCATAACATCATGTAGGCCGCCCACCTCCCGCCCACACCCCCCTTACCTCACTTTGGCACCATCTTTCTCTGGTACCTGAATCTCCAATCTCACACGTCCGCTTTAGCATACCTTAGGCGGCCATCGATCATCGGCCGTCCAGTCCTTCTTCTCCTGGGTCCTCACCCCCCCATTGCCTTTCATCGCCTCCATCGCCTCCATCGCCTCCATCGCCTCCATCGCCTCCCGGAGCCATCCCAGACGATCTACGGTGGCCCCCCTTCCCAACGCACACACACGCCCCCCTCGGAATCCCCTTCCACGACCCACCCTCCATTGCCTCCTCCCCTTGAACTTGGACCTCTTCTTTTCCTGGCCAGCATCACTTACCTGACTGGCGCACCCTAAATTCATCCTTAGCGCACCACTGCCGCTTCTTTCCTTTCCATACCTCACCCACACTCCTCTCCAGCTTCAGCTTCTACCCTCTTCCTCTCCCGTTCATGCCCCTGCTTCTCCCTCCCTTCTTGGTCGACACTCCTTCCTTTTCTCCCCTCCTATCCGCCTGCATCTTCAGCTGCAAACAACCCCCAATCAACTATTCGGCCCTCCTCCCGCAAGCCAGCAGAGAAATACACCAACCACGACCCAACGCCGCAACCTGGTGATCCAGCTTTGTCGACTCCTGCCACCCATATCCAACCTTTCTTGCTTGCCATCTTGCTTGCCATCTTTCTTCCCATCTTGCTTCCCTTCTTGCTACTAGACTTTCTTGCCCGGGTCAACGAGACCAGACAGGTATCTTTGTAAGTTGTTCTTTACACGCCTAATCCACTCTGCCTCCCTTGGCTCTCTGTGCATCGCATCTTGTTCTCTTTCCGACCATCGAGAAGCCTGCAAACTTGCATACTCTCCCCCCTCCTCCTCTCGACACCGGAGCCGCCTCTGCCGCCTCTCGAAGCATATGCCTGACGCCCGGGCACCTCTTGTACAACTCGCTGCAAGTACCCGTTCTGGTACCCGTTCATCCTGCACGAGACCACAAGCCCGACACACGCCCGTCTCACTCAACTTTATTCACCCTTGGAGCACCTTGGAGCAGAGTGCCGCACACGACATCTTTGCTTTCTGACCCCCGGGGGGCCTTGGCGTCGTTCATGCTTGCTTCTGGCCTTGTTGTTGCAGTTCCTTGTTTGGGCCCTGCCGCTCGCTTGATCCGCTCGCTGACTTTTTTCTTCGTCGTACCACAAAGACCAAACCAGCTACTCTCGTCATCCTCATCTTACATTCCTTGGGATCGCCTGAGTTCTTGCTCCAGAACACATTCCATTTTGCCATCTCTCGCCTGGACAATTCTGGAACCTAGATTTCGCTCAAGGCTACATTGGAGGAGGACGACGACAACGCAATTTGAGCCGGCATCTCAGAGTCATGGCAAGCGAACAGGGCGCTGGCGGAGGTATTGAGAGCAATAGGAGGCATCTGTCGACCTCGACCCGTGCTAGCACCGACAACGAGCCAACCCCAGAGACAGAAACCCAAACAGCAAACATGAAGCCTGCTCAGCAGTCCGAGGAGGACTCACAGTTCACACAGGCGCCGCAGGGCCTACCGCGAGGAGTCTACCCCCCGTCAACCACCGCCACACCCACACCCACGGCAGGCCTCCCCATGTCAAGGGCAGTCTCCAGCAGTTCTAGCAACTCGAGCATACCGCCCTCAACGAGCGCCGAGGGTTACTTCGGAAATGCACACACCACCAGGACGAGGCCAGCACTTCCTTTGGAACCCCCAGTCACCAAGGCAACTTTGAGCGAACTCGACGTGTCCAAGATTATTCACAATCCCAAGCTGCGTCACGATATCAACTTTGATCCCGAACTTCATTTCAGACCCAACGTGGACGGAGACAAGGGCAGGAGGAAGGAGGTCAAGGCCGAGCATTTTTGGGCTACCCTGCAAGAGCAACTGATCATGTTCGTCATGGACCGTGAGGGATTCTATGCCATCCATGGCGAGAATGACGACTGGTGCCTTCCCCAGCTTCTTCGAACCGTCAAGGACATCATCCAGACACTTGTGCCCGTCAGGGACCGAGTCTACTTGGACGAGGGCCTGAACGTGGAGCTCCTGATGCAGCAGTTTAACAAGGGCATTGCCGATCTCGAGAAGCTGGCATCCTGGCTCTCTCGTGTGCTCAAGTCTCACTGCGCTCCCATGCGCGACGAGTGGGTCGACAGGATGTACGAGAAGCTCAGCAACGGCAATCGAAACAACGACATGGGTGAGCTGGTTCTGGGTATGCGTGGACTTCTTGAGGTACTCGAGGCGATGAAGCTGGATGTCGCCAACCACCAGATCCGATGCCTGCGTCCTGTTCTGATCGAAGACACGGTTCACTTTGAGCAGCGCTTCTTCTTCAAGAGAATTCAGCAACGCCGGGTCGATGTCGGCCCCGCGAGGGAGTGGTATCGTGATGCCGAACGTCGTTATGCCGGCACCATTTCCCCAGCGGCAACTCAGTCGTTTGGCGAGACGGCCATCTTCTTCGAGGCTCTGTGCCGCCTGATTCGTCCTTCGGTCTACGAAAAGGAAGCCCCCAACACATTCGTCTTCGACGAGGAGCGGTTTTTGAAATTGCGATCGGACATGCTGGACGCCGTCAATCTCGAGGTGTGCATGCGTCTCTACGACGAACTGGAGAGGGTCAGCCGCACTGTCAACTCCCTGTCCAACGGATTCCCGTCCCATCTGGAGGAGGAGCCCGTCATCTCGAGGACATCGAGCCCTTTCGACTTCAACTTCAACACGCCTCCGGTGTCTGGATCACGGCCTTCAAGCCTGGCCTTCAGCTCGGCTGATTCAGTCACGTCGTCTCCTCGCTCGTCTCTCGTGCTCCCCAGCCAAGCCATCCCCACCTCCGACCCAAACGAGTCCCAGGCCAAGGCTCGCAAGCTCTACAACTCGCTCGTCGCCCTCATTCAAACATCGCCACCAACCTCCCGCCACGAGTCTCGATGGGCCTCGATGGCTCCGTCCCTGGCCATTCAGATCTTTCGGTTCACCAATGCCCCTTCAGATATGCTGCCCGCGTTCGAGGCTAAGCTTCTCGCACACGTCACGGATGTCCATGGCTCCCTTTTCCGCGAAGTAGAGGATCACTTCAACGCTCGTCTCTTGACCGATCTCCAACGACGCATGCGTGAGTACCGAGGTCTCAATGGCGTCGCTCTGTTCTCTGTCGCTACAGGCGGCCGAGGCCCTAGCTCCAGCCGCGCATGGGATGCCAGCTCCGCAGATGGATCCGGACGCGACGACGCTGGTGTTGAGGATATGGCCACCAGACTTGCGCACCTTGGCATACTACACTGGCGCGTGTGGGCACAGTTAGCGTATGCTGGTGAGGCCACGGGCGACTTCGAGTGCGACATGCAGTCGAACCAGATCTAAATTCCGCTCGGGCTAGCTGTTCATTGCGGCGAAGGAATCACCCTCGACACGCGTATGCCTACCGATACCACACTAATGGACCTGCTGCTGGCCAGTCTTCCGCCAGCCCGTCTCCAGTCACCACGTACACTTCGACGTCCCTTACGTTTGCCTAACACGGATCGCCGACTTTTTCCACTTTTACACACATATTAATCAATGCCCTCCCACCGTGTGGTATTGCATCAGCAACACATGCGCACTCATACACATTGAACAACGTCTTTTTCGCGTTGTTAGTTTTCTTTTTTGTTCTTTTTTTTTTTTTTTTTTTTTTTTTTGTCTATCTACACCAATCTGAATATCCGGAGTCTGGGAGGCGTAGGGCAGGTTACACAAAGAGACACACTTTAGACTCGTCCCATGGCACAGGGGAGGGGGAATCCGAATGGGTCCGGAGCATTCGAGTTGGCATTTGTTTATTACCGCCCCGGCGCTTTTTCTATCGGTTGCTTCCTTATCTATTTTCTAGCAACACGGCGTTCATGGGTATGGCGGGCAACGTCGGGGAATCACCACGATGGCCGGCGGTTCTGCGTTTGATTTTTGGTTGACGGCGAAAGACACAGGTGGAGAAGAAGAAGAAGAAGATAAGATGTAGAAGGTGAAGAGGATGAAGGATGAGCAGGCTCTGATTAATCCGGCATGTAGCCATCAGGCGACTGCCGACGGGGAGGTCTCAACGTTAGCGTTTAGCTCTTCATCCGAGAATTCTGACAGTTACTGTTATTCTGTGCATGCCATTGTTGACGTCCAGAATACGTTGTGAACGTTCCAAACAGGGAAGACGAGCCCACGTGTTCTCCAACGGCATCTTGGGTCGAATCACGAGGCGGCGGCGGCAGGTAGCCGTGTTGCCTATATCTGGCTGAACGCTCGGTGTGCAACTGGACGAAGGACTTTGTTGTCTCGCCGGGGTTGCAAGCCATGTTACTGATTCACATACTGAAGCTTGCTCGTCCCCGCGCTCGACCCGCGACCTGGTCCGATGTATGGCGTGCAAGCTCAATGGACGGGGTACTTTTTTTCTTACCACACAGGAGAGGGAGGCAGGCGGTGGGGGCAACGTATGCATGCGGGCAGGCGGACGGCATGATGTGGAGGGCTCGTGAACTGCCGATGAATCCCATTCAGAGAGGACCATTTTGATTTTCTTTTCGGGTCCGACTGCGACGAATGTCACTGGCCTCTGGCCTCTTTTCCTGAACCGTCTCTTCTTGTTTGGGGGGGGGGGGGGGATCTCTAGATGTTGCCTCGTCCTCCGCCTGCCCCTCATGATCATGGTCCAGCGGACAGCTTTCGTCCTCCTGTTGCACACCCGCTCCAGACCGGCTGCGCGTTTGCCCTTTTTCCTGATTACTGGGGCGCTCACCGAGCGGGAGGGTCATGGCGCATCTGTGTCCCCGTGTTGTGTGACCGATTCGGCGAATGAGAAATCTTGGTGAGGACGGAGAGGGAGAGAAGGGGCGCGGGGAGTTGAGGGGTCCATTCAAACGTCGAGAGCGCAATGTTGTGCTATGCGTGGTCGCTGCTTTCTCATGGGTGCCACTGGTAGTGTATGTCTGGTGCCCGTCCTCCTCCTCCTTCTCCTCCTCCTTGCGCTGCTGTCAGTGGCATCGTGCGAGACCCGCGGCTGTGCATGTCCCGGGAAACGGGTAGGGTGCGTATTCGTGGGCGCAACAGACGGGTTCACGTTCTCGGAGTCTGGACGGAGACGTTCCGACGGGGCCTTTTGTGTCAATGTTTGGGTTTTTTCCATTCGTGCTGGGGGGGGGGAAGCGTAAGTGCAGCAAGCATGGATGTGGTAGCTGGTAATTGGTATCATTCATATGCTTGGTTTAGCTCGGACTGAACCGCCCCCGCGACGCCGGCCGTCCGCTCGTTTGATTTTCCTGGTTCCTTGATTTCCTGATAACGCCGTTGTGTGCACCCGCTTCTGGTGTCCCTTGTCGTGCCGTGGGAGTTTCTCGTGTTTGTGGGGGGGGTATCTAGTTGATGAGGAGGGAGACCTGGCTGGTTGGTCAGGCACGGTGTCGTCTTTTGGAAGAGTTTGTGTGCTTGGATAGGGAATTGGGACGTACGGCCATGAAGACGCAGGCGAGGCTGACGTAGGGGCTCAGACGCTCGCCTACGCGCGCGAATTTCCAGAATATGCCGACGACGCTGAGTCTGTATGTGAGCCTGCGCTTTCATCGGCTAGGTTGCAAAGGTGGGAGGGGGGGCGCACCCGTCTTTGCGGTTGTCCATGAACGAGGGGAAGATCTGGTGTGTGTAGGCCGAGGTGCAGATCAGGAGGAGGATGACGAGAAGGAGTGATTGAAAGTTGAAGAGGGCGGACTTTTGAGCGTTAGTGGCGGGCGCGTTCGTGTGCAAACTGGGCTTACCATCTTGGCGGTCCTGGGGAGCAGCGAGCTGGGTCCCTTTTGCGATGCAATGGCGGAGGTGAAGCTGTCGCGAGAGCTGCCTGGCTGCCTGCCGTGTCTAAATGGCAAGGTGGCCCAGCCTGGTTCGTTTCGAGCTGGCGTCGGATTACTCATCACGGCGACCCCACGATTATTGAAGCATGGGCCACTTTTGATTTCTGGGTGTAGATGGAGCTTGATTCTTGCTAGCACTCGAGCCTTGCCACCAACACCCACGCCGTCTCTCATCGAATCCACTCCTTCCGTGTTGAAGTCGCAGGGAGTGAATGCTTTACAACTTGTCGCTGGTTCGACCTCGAACACTACTCATTGGCGCCAAGAAACGAACTCTTCCCAACCTCTCGAGAGCGACCACCCTGACGACCGTCTACAAACCGATATCCTACCACATTATCCGCCATCATGGAGCCTCGCGCACGCGCCGGCAAGAATGTCGGGCGCATGAACTTTTCGTCCAACGAGCGTCAGTCTTTTCCTGCCCTTTTTTCCCGCTCGCCAACCCCTCCAAGGCTCGTTTACTAACGTGGCCTGCCCTCTTTCCAGTCGGCCAGCTCCTCTTCGCACACGGCGACGTGCGCAACCCGCTGCCCGAGACGATCCGCGTCCTCGACGAGATCCTCACCGAGTTCATCCAGGGCACGGCGTTCGAGGCGGCGCGCAACGCCAGCTACGCGGGGCGGCAGAAGGTCAAGTGGGAGGACTTTGAGTTTGCGTTTCGCAAGAACCCGGCGTTCCTGGGCAAGGTGCAGGAGGTGTTCCAGAAGAAGGGCGAGATTGACAACGCCAAGAAGATCTTCTCCAAGGAGGACGAGACGTCGTTCATCAAGGACACGGCGGGCGAGGAGAGCAAGCGGGACAAGGGCGCGGCGGGGGCGGGCGCCGGTGGCGGGCCGCGGCTGCCGCAGGACGAGGAGGAGCTCGGCGAGGCGGACGATGTTGACGATGCCGTGTCGGAGGCGCCGTCGAGGAAGTCGCGCAAGGCTTAGCGGGCGTAGCGGAGGCTGGCGTGCGCGTGGGTGCACTTGACGGGTCCTGCGTGGCATGGCATTGCAGAGGGTGGGAATGGTCTGTGAGAGGCATAGCGATGGCGTCTGGTGTTTTCGGGATTTTGAACTTGGTCCACGAGGGAATCGTAGGGACCGACTGGGCTGAAGGGTAGCAAAGCTTTCACACGAAGCAGCGGTCACATTACAAAACCAAAGGTTGGGATTGGAGACAGCGGGCATGTGCTGTGACTTCCAGCGAGAAAGGCACACATGGTTGTCGACGTGGACAATTGCAGCCGTCGCCCTTCGATCACCAACGTCATGGCTGTGTGGCGCTGGCTAACATGAAAGTTTATGTTGCGGTGGTCAATCAATGCTTCTACCAACTTTCAACGCCCGAATCGCCAAGCTAGCACAGTCTAGCCGCCATGGACCCAACGACGATGACCGAATGAACATGAACGGCAACGCGGTCGGCACCGATATCGGGGATGCACCAAGATGGACCAAAAGGCGGCAACTCGGTAAGGCCCATGCATCATGATCCTAGTCGGTCGCTTCGCCCTCTCTCTGCCCGCCCTCTCTTTGCCCGCCCTCGTCCTATCACGTCAATCCCCAAACCGGGTCTGCTCTGCCGACCTGCCCAAACGGCCATGATCCATCGCCGGGCTAAACCTCCGAGTGGGTGGGCAGTCTTTGCTCACATCTCCACCGGATGATGCACCCTGTCAGGCAGGTCGTCTCTCGACCAGAGCTCCAGCCTTTTCTGGCCCAGAGGCTCCCCCGCCATGTCGCCCCCTCAGTAAAAGGCCGTGGCAGCCTCTGAGAAAAGAAGAGCCTTGGCCCCCAGATCCCCTTCATCGGAACATGGCCGTCGGCAACCCTCTGTTCTCACCGATTGCGCCAGTGGCTAAAAGTCTTTATCACTCTGCAGCAGCCTCTTGTTTCATCCTGCTCCAGTGTTTCTGTTGATTACAAGTCAAGAGCATAAGCTTTTTTTGCTTCAAACTGACATACTGCGCGATTCTCTTATACGGGGACCGCCCAGCATCAGCACAATCTCCAACTACAAACCTACATACCTATCTTACCTTCGGGACCCTGCGTGCTGCGCCTGCTTTCTGTACCTTACATCAGCATCCCGCCATTAGGCATGCCTTCGACCACTTGCCATGTCTGAAGACCGCGAGGAATCCAGGCACTTGATGCCCCAGACACCAAACGCAAAGGCCAATTTTGACCTGGTCGACGAGCTCCTCCCGCCAGATCACTTCGACCATCGCCTGTCTGTCGATAGCAAGCTTTCTGCTCAGGATGCTTACAAGGGCCATGATGGCTTGGCAAGCCACGATGCTCTCCATCGCCTCTCCATAGGATCCTTTCAGCATGGCAGGGCATCACCAGGCCTCCCCCCGGGCCCCGGGGGAACACCTCTCCACTATCCAGACCAGTCATCACGAGCCTCCAGAATCGTCACAGCCCTTCAGAAAACGATGGATGCCAACCGAGGCATCTTCCTCGTCGCTCTCTCCCAACTGTTTGGCGCCCTCATGAACCTGGCCGCCCGTTTACTGGAGCTGGAAGGCGAGGGCATGCATCCCTTCCAGGTCCTCTTCGCCCGCCAGAGCATCACCATGCTCTGTGCCTCGGGCTACATGTTCTGGAAACGCACGCCCGACTTTCCCCTGGGCAACCCGGAGGTGCGGTGGCTCCTCATCGCCCGTGGCGTTTCTGGCTTCTTCGGCATCTACGGCATGTGGTACTCCATGATGTATCTGCCCCTCGCCGAGGCCACCGTCATCACCTTCCTGGCACCCTCCATCGCCGGCGTAGCCTGCTACCTCGCCTTCCGCGAACCCTTCACGCGCGTCGAGCAGTTTGGCACCCTCGTCGCCTTCCTCGGCGTCGTCCTCATCGCCCACCCCACCTCCCTCTTCTCGTCCGCCTCCCCCGACGGAGGCGACGCCACCCGCCGCCGCGTACGCCCCGGGCCCCACAACAGCACGGCCCCACCGGCGGCGGCAACCCGGGGATGGACCACGAGGGCGACGCCCGCCGAGCGCCTCCGCGCCGTGGGCGTACCACGACTTATAGAATCCCTCAAGCCGCCGGCGCCTTCACGACGATCCGCTGGATCGGAAAGCGCACGCACCCGCTCATCTCGGTCAACTACTTCGCCACCTGGTGCAAACTCATCAGCGCCGTCGTGCTGACGGCGGCGCCGGCCCTCGACGTCGGCCAGCCGGCGCTGCGCTTCGCCCTGCCGCGGGGCCCCAAGCAGTGGGCGCTGCTGCTGTTCCTCGGCCTCATGGGCTTCATCATGCAGTTCATGCTCACCAAGGGCATGAGCGTCGACCGCTCCAACAAGGCCAACGCCATGGTCTTCACCCACATGCTCTTCGCTGCCGGCTTTGACCGCTGGGTCTTTGGCCACTCGATGGGCTGGATGAGCCTTGCCGGCTGCGGCCTCATCATTGGCAGCGCCTTGTACATGGTCATCACGAAGGAGTCGGCGGCGCCGCCGCTGCCGAGGCGGGAGCGAGATGTCGAGATTGGCGGCGTTCGGGATGCCGAGGGCGTGCCCATGTTGATGGAGGTCGACGATGACGATGACCTTGACGCGCTGGACGCTAGGAGGGTGAGGCTGGGGGGGTGAGCGTGGCGCTGTGCGTGGATGAACTTTATAGACGAGATATGATACCAGTGAATACACGGATCTGTGATGGCTGAACTGGGTGTTTTTGTGGCTTGTTTTTGCTGCAGTGGGCGGCATGTGTGGGCTTGCGGGAGTGTTGGGGATGTATCTGTGGTGCTCTGTTTCTGGACAGCCGACGGTCTGAGCGACGGCTTCCTGGACGTTCAAGTTTGTCACTCGGTGCTTTCATCCTGAGTCTAACGCAATGGTATCAGAATCATCTGGCGAGTTCGCGTGTCAGTTGTGGTGTGGCCTGTCGTCTCCTTAACCATGACGGCGATGTGCTTCTTTTCTGATTGTCACCCAGTCAAATGTGGGATTGCATGTTTACTTAAAATAAACCTGCACTCTTAAGATGATATATTGGTCTCTTTTATAGTCTTCTTAGTTCTGTGAAATCGACGAAGTAGTACAGTATATAATTTGTCAACCTTTTTGGGTTGAATAACTTGTTGGTATACAAATGCGAACCTTCATCAGCTTGTAAAGAATGAGCGCCACCGACGCGCCAACTGAAATGCAACTAAGAACCTCACAGAATAGGATCATGAGAATACAAAGTACTACACAGAGTAATTTCCCCAAGCCCCAATTCATCCTCTGGTCGCAAGGCGTTGCAGCTCGCAGTCCACGCAAGGAGGTGCACTCACGCTATATGCATATACCGGGTCTCTAGTACACCCTATCTCCATATCCCACTACCCAGAACTCCAAAGGAGCTGGTCACTTCGTGCAGCAACGCAACAGCAGGGATGCAGGAGATCGCGTCGCCCCAAAATCTTCTGAACGCAGCTTCAGACCTTATCGACACGACCTCCCCCCCCAAGCTTCATCCGCACCCCATCCACCGCACGACGCCATCACGAACCAGCTCTGACATCAGCAAGACAAGCCATCCGATTCAATTCCGCCGCACGCGCAATCCGCCAAGATGGTCCAGATCAGCGAGGTCAAGGGCAACAATCGCGACAACCGCACGGCGGCCCATACACACATCAAGGGACTGGGACTCAAGACTGATGGAACCGCCGAGAAGCAAGCCGCCGGCTTTGTCGGCCAGACGACAGCGCGAGAGGTGAGGCCATTTCCAGACTGCGCATGGCAAGGCTCTGCTGACCACCCCCTCCCCCCCTTCCACAGGCAGCCGGCGTCGTCGTCGATCTGGTCAAGGCGCACAAGATGGCCGGCAGGGGCGTCCTGCTGGCAGGAGGACCGGGAACCGGAAAGACGGCGCTCGCGCTCGCGATCAGCCAGGAGCTCGGCACCAAGATCCCCTTTTGCCCCATTGTCGGCAGCGAGATCTACTCGACGGAAGTGAAGAAGACGGAGATCTTGATGGAGAACTTCAGGAGGGCCATTGGGCTCAAGGTCCGCGAAACAAAGGAGGTCTACGAGGGCGAGGTGACGGAGCTGACGCCGGAGGAGGCCGAGAACCCCCTCGGCGGCTACGGCAAGACCATCAGCACCCTGCTCATCGGCCTCAAGAGCGCCAAGGGACAGAAGAAGCTGCGCCTCGACCCCAGCATATACGAGGCCATCCAGAAGGAGCGGGTGTCGGTCGGCGACGTCATCTACATCGAGGCCAACACGGGCGCGTGCAAGCGCGTCGGCAGGTCAGACGCCTATGCGACCGAGTTTGACCTCGAGGCCGAGGAGTACGTTCCGATTCCCAAGGGCGAGGTGCACAAGAAGAAGGAGATTGTCCAGGACGTTACGCTGAATGACCTCGACGTGGCCAACGCGCGGCCTCAGGGCGGCCAGGATATCATGAGCATGATGGGTCAGCTGATGAAGCCCAAGATGACGGAAATCACCGACAAGCTGCGCGGGGAGATCAACAAGGTTGTCAGCAAGTACATCGACCAGGGTGTCGCAGAGCTCGTGCCCGGCGTTTTGTTCATCGACGAGGTAAGCATGTTCTGTCTCCTGGAACACCTGACTCTTGCTACAGGACAACCCGGGAAATTGGATCGGTTGGTTGACTCGCAAATTCCCCCCCTAGGCACACATGCTCGATATCGAGTGCTTCACATACTTGAACCGCGCACTGGAATCGCCAATTTCGCCCATCGTGGTCCTTGCATCCAACCGAGGAATGGCGACCCTTCGTGGCACGGAAGACATTGTCGCCGCGCACGGCATTCCGACGGATTTCTTAGCGCGCCTCCTCATCATTCCAACGACGCCCTACCAAGCGGATGAGATTAAGCGCATCGTGCGCATCCGCTCCACCACCGAGGGCGTCGCCATCACGGATGCCGCAATTGACAAGATTGCAGAGCATGGCGTTCGCATCAGCCTTCGGTACTGTATGCAGCTCCTGACGCCTGCGAGGTAAGAAACCACCCCCCCCTTCCGTCTCCCTCCACTCCCTGATCAGAGGTCAATGTGTCCCTTGTCTGTGACTTGTTGGCACCTCCACAGTATAGTCTGTGCGGTTGCTGTCTCAGACATTCCCGTTTTTGGGGCCTATGCTAATGATGAGCGAAGCATTCTTTCCAAAGCAAACGGTCGCAGCCAGATTGACGTCCAGGACGTGGCCGAGTGCGAGGACCTGTTCTACGATGCCCGGCGCAGCGCTGGGCTTTTGAGCGGTGAGGGCGGCCGGGGCTACCTTCCATGATGAATGACAATGATGCTCTGATGACGGTACATCAAATTTCACCTTCTCGTACTTTCACGGGCCTTTTTTCGGTCTGACCCAGAGCGTTTGTGATGGAATGTGTAAGGCGGCAGGGAGACAGAGAGAGAGAGAGAGAGAGCGCGAGGGAAAACTTGTCACAATTCAATGTACAGCAGCAAAAAATCAACGGAGTCAGTCATAATACAGGCAGGGTGAGTTTTGAGGTTCGGGTCAAGCAGCTTTGGGATGACCGGCGGAAGACGGGGGGGAGGGTATTCATGAGTCGCGCGACACTGCTGTCAAAATGGATTAAACTTTTGGTGGACCACCAAGATCGATCACAGGCGCGAAGGATGTTTGAATGGGATAGTTTCCCAGGGTTGAACAAAATATGGACAGAGTGTTTGCAAGCCCGGTCCCGTCTTATAAGACATTCTGCAGCCCCGCGTCCCCGAGACACCACACCCGGAGGAGAGCACGCCTCCCCGCTGACCCGACCTCTGACAGGTATTCACGACAGACCACGAGCACCATCAAGCCTCCGGGAGGGCCACTGGTTTGAAGGGGGAATGGTCAATGGGCTCAACCTTCACGTGGAGACATGTCGGGTCTAGACCTGATTCGGGTAACATTGTCTTTGTCCCGGCACTCTGGCATTCCAACGCTACCACGTCCTCACCTACCAACCCTTCTCGCTTACACTCTGTCCCCATAACTCGCATTCCTGTGCGAGAAACAAGCTGCCATTGTTGCCATTGCGTCCTTTGAAGCAGAAGCAGTTGGGCCCACCCTTTGGCCTCGCGTTTGTCGCCTTGTTCCTGAGAGGGCGGAGTCTCCCCCTGCCTCCTCCTCCTTTGGCAAGGCCGGACAGAACTCCCAAGGTCAACAAGGTAAAGCGGGACAGGGAGCCATTTGACAAGGGGCCCCGCGGCTGATGGGGAGGAGAGGGACCCTCATGCTTGCGGCTCCTTTGACTTCACTCCTGGGCTCCGTGCTTCTCCCAACCCATATGGTGGGACTTTGTCCTCTTGTCTCGTTGTTTCATCCTGGCTGGGAAAATGGGCTGTCCTTGTTCCTCGTCTTCTTCATCTTCTCCACATCCATATAACCTCCTTGTCTTTTATTGTACGAACGAAACTCCCGGCAAACGCTACGCAACAAAGAAAACCACGGGCCCCGTCCTCCCCGGTCGACAGACCACAGAGCCAAGGGGAAAGGGAGCTGAGCCGCCCAGCCAGCTCGCGGCCGGCATCAGAGGACACAGGATATAGACACGGGAGGCAGAGGAACGAGTGGCTCGTCACATCTGCAACGGCTTGAATACCCCAGCATCCACCCGAGACATGGTAAGGCTATCATCCATCACAACAACCTCTCAGCAGACCCAACCAGCGTCTGCCAAACCAACGGACCGGCCTCCGACCTCCGTGCTCCAGACCCGGGACTAGTCCAGCCTTTTCCATCTCTCTCCCCTCCCCCGAGCCCCCCCTGGAACGCTGCACTGCCTAGTGCCTCGCCTTTGCCCCGAGCCCTAGCCTGCCGCTCGATCTGCTTCGGCCTCTAATACATCAACATCCTATCACCTTGGCCGGAGACCGGTATAGAAGAAACCCCATCATACCTCAAGCACAAGCACATTGAGCCGCAGCCCTGCGTCCGCTACTGCGCAGCATATTCATTGTCCACCTTGTCCACCTTGTCCCACGTCCTGCTTCTCTTCCCGCCCGCTCCTTGCTCCTTGCTGGCGATCGTCCAGGATATCCCAACCTGGTCCACACCTCATTCCCGCAGCCGGTCAAAGAGGCAAGCAGGCGACTGGCCGGAGCTAGACGAACAGAGAGCAAAGAAGGACGACGAACAGGTCTCTCGGGCACCCAATCCCCTTGTCAACCGCGCAGCCGTCATTATTGGGTCGGTGTGCTCCTCTGATATCTGATCAAACTCCATCGCCTCTCTACCTCTACCTCTCTCTCTCTCTCTCTCTCTCTCTCTCTCTCTCTCTCTCTCCGGCGAATGGGCCCTGCCCGCCCATCATCTTGATCAGCTCTTTCACTTTTCAGCGCAGCGCCTCACCTCATCAAAGCCCTCCCCCCTTGTCCTTCGAATCAGCCAGTTCGTGTCTCGCCACCCCCCTCGCGCCCGCCGTCTCGTCTCATCTGACGTATCGAACGACAAGGCAAAGAAATCAGTTTGAGGCGGGCCACCCAGCCGTCCATCCAGTCGCTTCCGATTCCTCCAGCCCCCGTGTCCATTGCAGTCTCCGTATCAGCCACGCTGCCCAGAGCATGGTCTGAGAGTCCGACCAATGCTCACAGCCATCCACGCCCACTCCCGTTTGCACCACCTCCCCAGCATGACGGGCGCTGGCCTGCCTCCGCCGCCGCCGCAGCCGCAGTCCCAGTCTCAGTCCCAGTCCCAGCCGCAGCCGCACCACCCTCAAGACCGCCGCGCATCCTCCTCGCCAGGCGACACCTCTGTCGCGTCCGTCTACTCGGCCATGGAACAGAGGACAGGCCGAGGCACCGGTCCCGACGACGCGCCAGCGACAGCACCGACGACGACGACGACAGCGGCAGCGGGCCCTGAAGCGGGGGACTCTAGCAGAGCACTCATTGGAGGACCTGGCGACGCGCGCGAGAGCCGTCGCGCGAGGCTCTCCGAGCTGGCGATCGAGACGCCGCCCCTTGGGCCGTTGGCTGGGGATGCAGGAAGGGAGTTCCTCTGCCTCTGCACGCCGGCGCCCAAGGTTCCCAGACCGCGAAACGGTGAGTTGGTACTCTTCTTTCCTCTCTCTCTCTCTCTCTCTGTCTCTCTCTCTCTCTCTCTCTCTTTGTTCGTCCGCGTCCTGTCACTGGTTGTGGTTCTTTAACCGCCTGACTCCGGGCTTGGCGGGGCGTGGACTGGGGCCTTTGTCCACAGTGAATCATCCATGATCGAGACATACATACTTGAATCGTTGGCTGACCGTGTACCGCGTGCGGGTAGCATTCATCCTATACAGACAACATCACCAGGCTCAGGTCGTCTCTGAGCACCCTGGGCTCGCCAACCCGGACATCTCCAAGATCATAGGGGAGCAGTGGCGACAGCAGCCGGACAACGTCAAGGCCGGCTGGAAGAAGCTCGCCGAAGAGGAGAAGGTGCGCCACCAGCAGCAGTATCCGGACTACCGGTACCAGCCCCGGCGCGGCCAACGTCCAACAGGACGGCCAGGCACAGCAGCAGGCGAAGACTCGGGGCGGTGTCCCAAGTGCGGAGGACGGTACATCTCGACGCCGAGGACCCCTCAGACGCCGGTGCTGACGCCGACGGCAGCGAAACCCGCCATGAATCCGTACCAGGCGAGAGATGGCAGGGCGTACGAGGGAGAGTCATCAAGACAGGCGCTGCCGCAGGGCAGACAGATGAACCCCTATGGGCAGGGCCACCCAGGGGAGATGGACGAGAGCTGGGATCTCGCGTCGCCGGCTGTCGATGCCAAACGCCGCCGGTTCAACACGACTGGCCACTACCAGGGCATGTCGTCGCCGAACCCGTACCAGGGTCACCAACCCACAAGACATTCAAGACAGGCGTCCGCCGCAGGGCCTTCCAGTGCCGGCCATGGCTACGGGCCAGCGCCACTACCTGGCCCGCCAGGTATGGGGCAACCTGGCCAAGGTCCCATGCCGCCGCCGCCTCGCCCGCCGCACTCGCAACACTTCCCAGGCCAGGGCCCGGGCCGCAACCCAAACTATGACGAGAGTCTTCGCCTTCCGCCCCTGCAAACGCAAATGACCCCAAAGACGCCAGCGGGTCAAGGCGAGTCTGACAGGCCCGGCGCCGACCCACTTGGGCTAGGCATGGCAGTGACGAATCCCGGAGACAACCAAGCGCGAAGCACAGAGGCCGTCGTCATGAACATTTCGTTCCAGAGCAAGCTCAACGTGCTGAGGAAGATCAGCCCGCCTCTGGCCCCATCTGGGTTTGCGAGCCCAGGCGCGGAAACCCGCGGCGCGGTCATCGCTATCGAGGGCCCAGACGAGCGGCTTCTCGAGCAAGTCGACGCCGCGCTCCAGCGAGGCTTGTCGGAAGCCCAAGTGATCAACCTCCAATGCTGGCGTGACGACAGCAGCACCATCGGCAAGACGGAAGATGTCGTCGTCGCTGAAGGCAGCAGCTCGGCGGGCAGCAGTCGCAAGAGCAGCGTCGAAGGCGTCGCGCTCTCCGACATGTACGTCGAGTACATGCAAAAGCTGTCGCAGTGGCACGGCAAGTCAAAGCAGATGGTCAAGCACATCACGACGCGATCCGAGCAACAGCAGCGGCCAGTGCCCGTGAGGAGGGCATCGGAAGGCGAGGTCAGCACACCGCGCGAGGAATCATCATCGCCGAGCATGATCCCCGTCGCTCTCGTAACGGGCGGATACAGCGCAACCATTGCTGACCGGTACGCGTGCCGCGTGCCCATTGTCGACTCGTACGCGCCCGTGGACCACTGGCAGTGGATGGCGACGCTGTGGCGCGGGGTCGTGGGAGCCGACTTGGTGGTCTACGTCAAAGCGAGTGCGGAGGACGAGGTCGCGCGGCTCGGTATGCTCGACTTTGTGGACTCTGGCATTATGCTTCTTAGGATTGCTCCAGGGAAAGGTCTCGATGACAGGAGTTCGCGTCGTCTCTCGTTCGAGGTGATTGATTGGTTATGCAGCGGGAACTACAGGAAAGAGTCAGCTGGCGTCAGCTGAGCTGATAGCTCAGGAATGTCGCCAAAAGTCGAGCTTGTACGTAATATGGTGGTTCATCTTCTCTTCAAGGGCTTGGTTGATTGTGTTCAATGCCAGATGGAGGGGCGGTCTTGGCTTGTCCATACGGTAGTAGCACTACTGGCACGAGACGCGTCTTTTTTTTCGATATCAGGTGTTTCCATTGATGGAATATGATTGTTTGAATGCCTTCGTCTTCATCTTTGTGCTCCTCTGATCGAACAATGCGTTGTGTCGAGAACAAAGATATCATTGCTGTTCGGGCAAGTTGCGGTTTCGTTGTTTGTCGTTGAGCGATGACATAAGCAACCCCTTTAACCACATATCGCAGATGACGAATGTTGACAGGGGCACGTCGCGGTTAAGCGAACGCGTCTGTTTGGCCCCCCCCCCCCCTGTTCACCTGTGATGCCTTGCCTACTACCTATCCAGCTCAGGAGCTCCAAGCATCTGGCAACAGCCATCCCCCAAACCAGCACCAGCACCAGCATGTTTACCTCTCGATGAGGACCCGACAATGTCAGATCTAGCAGTCGGTCAGATCGTCCAGCTGACCGACGGCCGCAATGGCGTCGTACGCTTCGCCGGCACCACCCATTTCGCCTCGGGCGAATGGGTCGGCATTGAATTGGAGGATGACTCTGGAAAGAACGACGGCAGCGTCCAGGGCGAGCGCTACTTTGACTGTTCCATGGGGCGAGGCATGTTTGTGCGGCCGTCGACCCTGACCATTCTCGCCCAGGCTCCAGCTCCAGCTGCGGCGCCGGCCGCCAGACCTACCGTCAGGAAGACGAGCAGGCCCAGCAGCTTCGTGCCCGGCACGGGCAGGGTGTCGAGCGTCACCGACCCGAGCATGGCCAAGCGGATGAGTCTGAATGCTGCTAGTCCCAGCCCGGCCCCGCGCACATCTCGACCTGCGAGCCTTGTACGGGTGAGTGAGCATCTTGGGGCAGAGGAAGATTCCATTGGCGAAAGTAGACTTGTTGCCATGCTGACTTGCACTCTCTCAGTCTCCTACGAAGTCGCCAACGAAGCAAATTGGTTCGACCACCTCCAGCACCGCACCCTCCCGGACCGGCACACCTTCAAACGCCAAAGGCACCACCGCCACGCGAACTCGCCCGGCAGTAGGTGTTCGCACCTCCATGGGACCCCCTCCGATTCCCTCCGCACGAGTGAGCCGACAGCCATCAACATCGTCAGCGACAGGTCGCCCTCCCGCCAGGCCGCTTTCCAATCGACTCTCCCTGTCCGGCTCGCGCAGCGTGCCCAAGCCAGACCCCCTCCGACGCCCATCGACCGATTCGCAAGCAGGCAGGGAGCCCGGCTCGGCAGCAGACAGCGGCGACGACGGCAGGAGCAGCTCGCCATCTAAGGGAGCGGCTGATCTGGCCTCACCGCATGCCACGAGCCCGGTGCAAGCTCGGACCAACGCGCTCGAGCGGTTGACCTCGGGCAGGACGGCGACCACGACGGCACGGTCGCCAGCCACGGCGTCGCCTCGAACGGCCGGCGGCAACACGGCTGCGGCGCGGGAGAACGAAGACCTCAAGGCGAAGCTCCGTGTCATGGAGCGCAAGAGGCTGGAAGACCGGGAGAAGCTGAAGCAGCTGGAGAAGCTCCAAGGCGAACGCGACAAGTTTGAGTCGATCATCCAGAAGCTGCAGACAAAGTACCAACCCCAGCAAACGGAGAATGCAGAGCTCCGCAAGCAGATCAAGGAGGCCGAGACGCGGTTCGAGGCCGTGGAGCAGATGCAGGCCGAGCATGAGACGGCCTTGGAGCTGGCCACGCTGGACCGTGAGATGGCGGAAGAGACGGCCGAAGTGCTCAAGGCCGAGCTCGAAGCGTTGAAGCAGAAATCAGAGGAGCTTGAGCTCGAGGTGGAAATCTTGCGAGAGGAGAACGAGGAGTTTAGCCAGGGCATGACGCCCGAAGAGCGGTCAAGCACGGGCTGGCTGCAGATGGAGAGGACGAACGAGCGGTTGAGGGAAGCACTGATACGATTGCGCGACCTGACCCAGGCTCAAGAGGCCGAGCTTCGAGACCAGATCAAGGCCCTGGAGTCTGACCTGCAAGACTACAGTACCGTGCAGGAGCAGTTCGCGGCCTCCAAGGAAAAGCTGGCACAGTCTGAAAGCGCGGTCGAGGATCTTCGCCAACAGCTCGACAATGCTCTTGGAGCGGAGGACATGATTGAGGACCTCACCGAGCGCAACATGAGCATGGCCGAAGAGATTGAGGAGCTCAAGGCCGTCATCGAGGATCTCGAAAACCTCAAGGAGATCAATGATGAGCTCGAGATTAATCACGTACAAAACGAGAAGGAGATGCAGGAGGAACTCGACTTCAAGGACAGCGTCATTGCGGAACAGGCCCGACGAGCCGGTCAGCAAGAGGAAGCCCTCGAAGACATGGAGTACACCCTTTCGAGGTTCAGGGAACTCGTCACGAGCCTGCAGGGCGACCTTGAGGACATGCGCGCATCGCACGCTGTCACCGAGGCCGAGTCGGAGCAATTAGACAGCAAGTCCCGCGCCATGATGGACCTCAACATGAAGCTCCAGATCTCGGCTGCCAAGACACAGGTCAAGACGATCGACCTGGAGCTTCGCCGTCTGGAGGCGCAAGAAGCGGAGCAGCACCTCGAAATCGTCAAGCTCTTCTTGCCCGAGACCTACCAGGAGGACCGCGACTCCGTGTTGGCGCTCCTTCGCTTCAAGCGACTGGCGTTCAAGGCCACTCTGCTCCAGGGCTTCCTCAAGGAACGCGTCACGGGCCAGCCGCACCCCGGCCACGAGGACGACATGTTTGCCGGCTGCGATGCCATTGACAAGCTCACCTGGGTGGCGGCCATGTGCGGCCGCTTCATCAACGCCATCAGCCACTGCTCGATCGAGCAGTTCCAGCACTACCAGGGCGCTCTGTTTGAGCTGGAGCCGGTGGAGCGGGCGGTGAACGGGTGGATCGACGGCCTCAGGAGGGATGAACTCAAGGAGGCCAAGTGCGCCAGCGAGCTGCAGCGCTCCATTGCGCTCATGACCCATCTCGCCGAGGTTCACCTTACGGACGATCTGCAGAGCTTCGCCGACGCCATGCACATGCGCGCTCTCGTCGTGCAAAGCCATCTGGATTCGGCCGCCGCGGCCATTACGACCGCCAGGGCCATGGTCCAGAGAGTCATCCCCGAGTCTGGCGAGGACGACGAGATGGCACAGCACTTCAGCAAGAAGGCCGAGCACGTTGTCGGCCAGACCCGCAGCACCAAGGTCATTGCCAGCAAGGCCGTGCGCGCCCTCGAGGATCTCAAGAACCGATCTCTCTCGCTGGCTCGGGACGACAGCACGCAAGAGGCGTTTGAGCAGTGCGAAGAGGCCGCAAAGGACCTCGCCGCACTGGCGCGGCAGATTGGCCTCGACTTGCACAAGCTGCTGCACGAGGAGGGCAGGACCGAGCCATACACGCACACGGAGGTGCAGAACACGATGGCGCAGACGGCCCTGTCGGCCGGTTCGTCGACCGACTCGGATCTCTTCTCGACCTACGTGACCAAGCTCCGGGTCGTCACGCAGCAGATCACGGACCTTGCGGGCCTCAGCTCTGACCTGACGCAGACGCAAGAGTTTGAGCTCAACCCGGCCCCCTGGAAGCTCCGCTCTCAAGAACTCAAGGCTCTCAAGACGATCCCCGTGGATGCCGAAGAGGAGCTCCGCCGCGTCAAGGAGGAGCACAACGAGGCGCGCCGCACGATTGCGCAGCGCGACGAGAGCCTCAGCACGGCGACGCTCAAGATTGAGACGCTCGAGTCCCGCATGCGCGACGCGCACCAAAAGGCGTCGCGCATCGCCGACCTTGAGGCCCAGATCGAGACGGCCAAGCAGCGCGCGGCGGCGCTCAAGGAGGACATTGAAAAGGGCGACCGCGAGCTCAAGGCGCTCGAGGCGGACCGCGACCAGTGGAAGAAGATTGCGGGCGACAGCAAGGCGTTCGCCGGCGCCAACGACGCTGGCGCCGCCAAGTCGGGCCAGGAACGGGCCGTGGCGACGGCGCGCGAGATGGACGCCCTCAAGGCCGACATTGCGCACCTGCAGGCGGCGGTGCGGTACCTGCGCGAGGACAACCGGCGGGCGCGGCTCACGGAGCAGGCCGACTACGACTGGCTCGCGGCGCCGCTGCGCAAGGCGGCGTCGCCGGCCGAGCAGCGGCGCGCGCTCGTCGTGGCCGAGGGCCGCGACGCGCTCGGCGAGCTCGTGCGGTTCGCGACCCAGGCCAAGGTGTACGACCTCCAGGACCTGCCGCAGGACAAGCTCGCGTGGCGGCCGGCCAAGAGCACGCCGCAGTACCACGCCGCGCGGCAGGCGGAGGACCTCGCGGCCTGGAAGGGCTGGCGCGACTCGGTGGTGCAGAAGACGGAGGTCGTCGCCGGGCGCAGGGGCGGTGGTGCTCCGGACATGAAGAGGGTCGAGGCGCTGCGGCGGAGCGCGGCGGCTGCGCGACTGCAGATTCGGCTGCCGGGGCCCGACGGCAAGATGGCGCGGGGCAGCGGACGGGATGTGCAGATTGTCGGATCGAGGGAGTGGGAGGGTCTGCAGGGGCGGTTGGCCGTGTAAGCCGCTGGTCGAGAAGGAGGACCAGACACGAGTAGGAAGCGGGTCATGCTGTCGTCCTATGGATGTGGCTAGGAGTAGATGCGATACCCTTGATGCAAGTATCTTTTTTGTTCCCTTTATTGCTGCCGTCTGTCTGGTCTCTGCCCGTCTGCCTGGTCTCTGCCTGGTATTTGTCTGGTCTGTCTGGTCTCTGTCCGAGTGATGTGGTGATGCAATATTCATTTTTGCCGCGTTTCGGCGGCCTACGGTGTCTGCCGTAGGTTCATGTCTAACTCCTCGGTGCCCATGCTTGCATGCCTTCATGTGTCGTCCATTTCCTGATTCCTCCATTTCCTGATTCCTCCATTTCCCCTGACATGTCACCTGATATCCCTCCCCCCTGTCCCCCAATATAACAGCAGCCTACGCCTTGCCCTTGCCCTTCTTCTTCTTCCCCGGCTTGTCCTCGATGGCGTTGCCGCCGCCGCCGCCGCCGCCGCCGCCGGGCATGCCCTGCGCCATGAGGGCGGCCATGGGGTTGTCGGCAGCGGGGCCGCCGCCCTGCTGCATCTCCTTCATCATGTCGCCAAAGAGGTTCTCGCTGACGCCGCCGCCGGTCATGGCGGGGCTGATGTAGGGCAGCAGGTCGCCCATCTTCCAGCCGCGGGGCACGGCGGGGCGGGGCCAGGGCTGGGCGGGGTCGATGGCCGGGGGCACGCCCTGGATGCGGGCGCGCAGGGTGAGGCTGTCCTCGGCGGCGGGGTGGGGCGCGCAGGTGGTCGGCGACGAGGAGGTAGAGGTGGTGCTTGCCGTCGACGGGGCGGGTCGGGGTGACGGCGGGGTCGTCGCGGCGGCAGGCGGACCTTGGACGCGGCCCGGGGTTGGCCCAGTCCTTGGGGTGGGGACTTGCCGGGGCTCGAAAAGGGTGGGGGATGCGCAGGGCGGCGCAGGCGTTTGACGATTTTCGCGGGCGAGGAAGAGCTGGATGCATTCGACGCGGCCTTCCGCCTCGCGCCCACCCTCGGCGCGGGTGCGGGCGGCGTCAAAGTAGACGGGGGTAGAGGCAGTCGTAGTCTGCGTACTGGCGGGCGTCGGCGGTCGCGTCGAAGTAGGCGTCGGGGGCCTGGCCGGCGGCGGGGGCCGAGGGGCGGGCGGTCTGGGGCGTGGGCACGTTCGTCTGGGCGGGCGTCTCGCGTTTGGGGTCGACGCGGCGCAGGATATCGGCGTCGTCAAAGTCGTCAATGTCGCCTTCGGAGGGGTCAGAGGCCGACTCGAGGTCTGAGTCGGAGACCTCTTCTATGCGGGCGTGGGACATGGCGGCAGGCGGGGGTGGTCTGAGGCCTTTGAATGCCGTGGAGGTCGAAGGTGATGGTGGTGGTAGGGATCGAAGGTAGTGGTGGTAGAGATGGTGGAGGAGATGGTGGTTGTGGTGAAGGTGGTCGTGGTGAGAGTGATGAGCCTCGCCAGTGGCCAGGGTTTTTGGACGTGGGGTCGGATTGTACCTGCCCCAAGGCCAGGAGTTTCCTCCAAGGCAAGCACCTTCCAGGACAGCAGGCAGGTGCAACGCAGTCGAGGTGGGGTAGCGAGCTAGGGCGAATCGGGTTAGCGCTGGTGTGGGGATGGACGTGTCTCGGGCTCGACGTCGACCACCACCATCACCATCACTGATCAACCACCACCATCATCCACCAACACCATCCATCAGCCTCACCATCATCCATCAGCCTCAGCGGTTCTCGATTCAGCGACACCATCAATACCAGGACCAAAGCAATCATACAGCATCAATTTGGCATACACACCAAGCACCCTACAAATAATCCACCCGTCGTCTCTTCGTCATCATCGTCAGCGTCGTCATCCAGCCACGTATCCCACCGTATCCCGAGTCCCCGACTCTCCTTTGCTGAACAGCTGAACAAATCCCTCGTTTTTTGTTTTTCAATTATCTTCAATGTGATTGTTCCTAAACTTGGTATCAGGCGGATGCTCGCTCACACGGAACTTGCAATGCGGATGGCCGCACACCCCATTGACAACCGTCGGACACTACATTCCCCCCCAAAGTCAGCAGCTCGCCAAAGAATCCACCCTCGCAGCATGACAAGACGACGACAACTCGACAAACCACTTACATGATGTCCGTAGATGCAATTCTCAATGTCGCACTCCTGCCCCTTGGTACAGGGATTGAGCCGTGCGAGGTGCGCAATGGCGTGTATCTCATCGAGCGTCGGCTTATACCGGTGCTCGAAGCAACAGTCGCTGCCCTTGACGCAGGGTCCGCGCAGGTAATGGTTGTTGCACAGCTTGTCCGTGTCCTTGCGCTTCTTGATGCTTTCGAGCGCCACCGGCATAACAGCAATGGGCGCGTCGAGGCCGCGCGGGCCGGGGTTCCACGCCGCTGCCGCTGCCGCCGCCGCCTTGGTCAGGCTGCTGGCCCCGCGGGCCTTGGCCGCCGCCATCTTGCCCGCCAGCGGCGTCGTGATCTGCGGGGGCGGCGTCGCCGAACGCGTCACGGCTGCCCACGACGCCGGCAACGTGGGCGCTGCCGGTGCTGCCGGTGCTGCATTGGTAACGGGCGGCACCGTCATCGTCGCCAGCGCTTGTGTCTGTAACTGCCCCTGCTGCCCCGGGCCCAAGGCGAAAGAAGCATTGTGCGAGCTGTCAGGCGACCGGTTGATCAACTTGTCGGCGCGGAAGAGCTCTTCAAACTGAATAACATTGACCTTTGTATCGCGCAGCTCCCGGACCGTCGGGGACCCTTCAATGACGGTGACGCGCGCCCGCGAATCATGATCCTGCAATATTTCGTCGAGAAAGGGCGCATAACCGGCGTCGTGGGAGACGCCCAGCAAAATCTGTTTACAGTTATAATTACGAAGATGCCATCGCGTGAGTTCTGCGTGAGCCTGTCGTCAACAATTGCTCTGTCCTTCTCCCCCGTGGCCCAGCATCGACGGAACGCTCACCTTTAATTTTGGAATCGGCCCGTTCCTTGCCGTAGCCGACGTCGATAAAGTCAAAATGGGCCTTGGCCTGCGTGAACCCGAGGGCAAACTCTTTGAGGTCAAACTCGGCCTCGATACAGCCGTCGCGGCGCATCGCCCGCGCGAGGCCCGTCAGGTTGGCGCACACCTTGGCCACAATCTCGACCTCGTCGGCGAACTGGCCGCAGAGGGACACAATGGCGCGGCGCAGCGCGTAGGCGGCCTTTTTGCCGCCCTCGATGCCCGCTTGAACGAAATGGTCTTGAAACTGCAAACGAGTCAGCCAGCTTTTGCCTGATGAGGACCGACTACACAGACAATGAGGCCGTCGCCGTCCAAGAGGACCAAAACATAAAGGTTGCGGTTCTGCGTCTTATCGTGAGAAACAGCGTCAAACCCCGAGGGAGATGGGAGGGAGAATTACATTGGCATTCGTGATTTCGGCACTCATGCTTTGCACGTGGGCGTCGGCCACCTTGAGCCGCTGCTGGAACTCGCGGCGCGTCGTGCGCGCGTCGTCGAGGTCGAGCTGGCTCTCGCTGAGCTGGTGGCGCAGCGTGGCATTTTCCTGGCGCAGGCCCTCCTGGGTTCTTTCGCAGTAGGTCAGCAGTTCCTGGCCCCGTGTCAGCGGGGTGCTCCGATCGACGGGCCTGGCGTTCGTGGCTTATGGGCAAGGGGGGGCCGGCCATGTCCCGTAGCAGACGACTGACGAGAATGGGGCAAGGGGACGGCAAAGGGAGGAGGATGGCGGGCTCCAACGGGACTTACCTGGATCAATCCCTCGCTCGCCTCGCGCTGCTCGCGAATCGACTGGAACCGATGGTTGAAGCCCAGGAGATCACTCTCGTAGACGTCCATCTTAACAGGCATCGAGTTGTGTCTCTGGCCCGGCGTGAAGAGGGCGGGCGGCGGGCCCATCTGTAGGCGATCCATCGGGAGAAAAAAGAAATCAACCGAGGGAAGCGCTGTAGGGTAGGTAGGGCCTTGAACGGAGCGGGAGGCGATGACTTCGTTGCCGTCGGCAGATGAGGAAGACGACCCGCGGGCTAGAGGAGAAGGCGATGGAAGAGTAGAGTCTGCCCTCCTCTGACGTGACGTGGATACGTGTAGGAGGAGATGTCGGTTTGGGCAGACGTGTGTCAACGCCAGGTGAATGAGAATCACACACACACACAGAGAGAGAGAGAGAGAGAGAGTGTGAGGAACGGTTGCCCTCTCAACTCCCACGGAACCCAAGAGAAGATGAATGGCTGCCGACGGAAACGTACAAGCTGAGGCGGGTCGGCGTCGACGGCGAGCGCAAGGCAGCGAGGCGTGTAATGGTGGTGTGGTGCGTTGCAGCGTCCAGGTGTGAGCGGGCGGGACGTTCGTAACCGGACCGGACCCCTTGACTGGCTACCTCCCCTTTGTCCTTGGCCTCCCAATGTTGCACACACTCGAGGCGTTTGGGTGACGATGGTGCGATATCTCGATGGACGGGAGAGCGCGGAGCAGTGTCAAGAAGGGTTGAGCGGTTCCGAAAGACGTCGTGCTGTGCTGTGCTGAGGTTTCTCTCGCACAGACAAAACAAGCGTGCGCAGGCAAAGGAAGCAAGCAGAGACGACGAACGGGGCGATCGTGCCCGATTGTGAAGCTGAGTGAAGCAGAGGCGAGCGTCTGGCAAACACCGTGCACGTGTTGCTCGATGATGAAAACCGAGGAGGGGGGAATTCTTCAGCTTTGAACAGCAACCTCTGGTGCGTAGCGAAGTGGTTGGGCTGAATGGAGTCAGGATGTATAAGTCAGTCAGTCGCAGGGCGAGGGTGACCTGTCGAAAGAAACCATGAGCCAGGAATGATTTCAATGGCACCGAGGCATCTAAGATAAGGCACGGCCTCCAAGGTAATATACCCCTTCGTCTGACGGACATGAGCCTGCGCTAGAGTTCAACAGTAGGTAGACAGGTACCTGCAAGCAGACTCTCCATATCACTGGTCGAGGAGACCGGAGAGCGTGAGGAGAAGGGGGAGCGAACCACAAAGTGCAAAAACATCATGGAGGGGGGCACCTAACACAGACTACTGAATACCAGAAAACAGGAACCAGAATAGAGGAGTACAGAGTACAAGAACGCAGGAAAGAAAAAAACGCGAGTTACGGATTTCGCAAAGCCAGGAAACCAACAACGAAAAAGCGAAGGAAGCCAAGTTTGTTGTACAGGGGGGGAAGAGAGCAGGCTGCGAAGCTGAGATGCGAAAAGGAAAACGCCTTGTCAAGCGAAACGCCGCCAGCACAACAGCAACAACAGGTCGGCAGCGCACGTTTGAAGGCCGCCTCACATGTTGGGCCATGGCCTACGAGAACCCCTGTCACTGTGAGGTTGACAGCGCACCCCCAACCCGTGACCCCGATTCGGAGGGGGGGGGGGGGGGGATGGGAACGGGTAGAAAGACTCACAGACGGAACTGACAGAGGTAGAGTGACAAGTGAGCGTCAGCGACAAGACCACTCTTGCATGCGCGCCACGTCGTCTTTGCCGCCTGCCCCAGACGGAATTGGCGTTAGATCCAACACTTCTGCTTGGCTACGCGCGCCCCCCCTTCTGTTGTGTATGTGTATGAGTTGCGCAACCCTGACAGAGGGCATGGTATGATTCGTCCTCCAGCCCTGCAATATCATCATCTTCATTCGATCACATATAGATTTCGTGACTCTTCTTCCCTTCAGTTGACGTTCGTGCTGCCCCCTTTCTTCAAGTCCCGGGACCGACCCAATGCTGCCAAAAAGAAATACCACAGTTGCTACATGCTGCTTTGAGCGGTTCCGGCGCGGGCTCCTCCGCTCAGCCGCTGCGGAGGCAAGGCTCGACGGAGGTCCATGGGGCCCATGGCGCGCCTCGAAGCGCCTCGTCAACAGACCCAGAGTCGGCGCTTGCCGGATTCTTCATTCAGGCTGACGATGCGGTCGAACCAAAGATGCCTAAAAGGCCATCAGCAAAATGCCCATTCTCGCGCCAGCGATACAGGTGGCTGCTGCTTCAAGTCTCGGAGACAAACAAGAAACGTGTGTGATTGTAATGATTGTAAGCAAATGCAATTATGGGGGCCTTGAAATAACCCCCCCGGCGGCACCCGTCATGTTGGGCGCGTCTACGAACAAATGATGCCGCGGAGGATCGGGATGCTCGCATATCTCCTCGATCGCTGTCCGCCCCAGCCCTGTGCCTTGCGAAAATCCCCATATTCGTACAAATGCCATGTAAAACCTGTACCCAATGACGCAAGACGCCGTGCTTTCTGTGATCTCTCTTTTTGTGTCGCAGACATGATTGTTTTCCGGTTCCGTTTTCTCTCTCGTCATCTCCCGCCAGGCCTCTTCATCCCCATGGGCCCCCCCTTCCGGGCCGCTTACGGATCGACGGCGAGGGGAGACGCGCCGAGGTACGTCTTGGCGTTGGCCCAGCTCGGGCTCATCAGTTGCTCCTCGGTCAGGTAGTACTCGCTCTTCTCGGCGAGCATCTGCTTGTGGAACATTTCCAGGTACATGCCCGGAATCTGCTGCCCAATGGCAATCTTGATGAGGTCCTGCTTGCCGGCCCACAGGTGCTTGATAAAGGTGCCGATGCACTCGGAGCGATCCTCGGGGAAGCCGTTGGCCTCGGCGCAAGGCAGCTCCTCGACCTCGTCGGCGTAGTCGTATCGAATAAAGTTGCCGAACCCTCCCTGGTCCGATGGGCGTCCCCAGCCGACGTGGCGGTACTCGGTGCACTCGGGGTGCTTGCCGCCGTCGTCGGCGCATTCCGCCCAGTCGTCCATCATCTGGAAGGTGATCGGGCGGTTCTGGGCAATGATGAAGCCTGTGTTGTCGTACAGCTTGCCCTTCTTGTCCTTGTTGTGCTCGGCCTTGGGGTCGATGGCCAGAGCGAGCGAGTTGTTCTTGGGGTCAATGTCCCAGTAGTTGAGGAGCCATTCAAAAGGCAGGTCCAGGTGGTTGAAGATGGCGTCGGAGTCGACAAAGATGCAAGCCTCGTGCTTCAAGAGAAGCTTCTTGAGCACCGTGGGCTTCTTCCACGAGGCGCGACGGTCCTCAAAATCGCCCGTGCGGACGTAGTAGTAGCTGTAGCCGTGGATCTTGGCTGTGTCATGTTAGAGAGAGAAATAGGGGGGGGAGAGAGAGAGAAATAGGGGGGGAGAGAGAGAGAAAGAAAGAGGGAGAGAGAGAGGAGAGGCAAGCTCGCGCGCGGGACAACCCACCATAGAGCCAGTGCTGGAGCACACCGAGCGAGAGACCATGAATCGCCGTGGCATTGTTCCAGCTCAGAGGTTGTTGGCCAAAGATCATGCCGTCCTCCTCAAAGGGACGGTTGTCGAGGTCGAAGATGCAGAGGTTCCTGCCGAGGGGCTTGGTCCATCGAGCGGGCTTATCCGCGGGGAGCTTCCACTCAAAGGCGCCGTAGGGCTTGTAGACTTTGGCATCGAGCGCAATGGATGGTTTCGCCACTTCTTCGAGGAAGAACTTGCGCATGTCGTCCCAAGAGTCATGATGTTCGGGTGTGGAGCGGAAGCTGCCAGGGGATCTGGGAGAGGGGGGGAAGAGACAATCGGTCAGCCAAAAATGTCTGGTAAGTGGCAGAGATCGAGGGTCTGGAAGCTGTTCGGTTGGAACAGCACGAGCGGTAAACGTACATGGAGGCAAAGTCCCAGCTATCCACGCGGTTGTGCGCCAGACCGATGAAGATGACGATGAGGAGAACCGAGCCGGCGACGACGCCGGCGACCTTGTTCGACCTCAGCAGGCCGGGAATCATGATGGCGGAGATATTAGCTAAGATGAGAAGGAAGCCGCTGTGGGTCGTCAAGATGGAGAAGAAGAAGGAGAAAGAAACAGAAGCAGAAAAGGCAGAGGCAGAAGAGCCGAGTCGTGAGGGTCGGCGTCAAGAAAGGCCGTCGTCAGTCTGAAGAGAAAAAGGAGCGGCAGCGCAGATGGGGCGAAGGGCTACTGCGAGGGCGGAGGAAAGAGAAACGTGTGGATTCCTGGGCAACAATCGTTGCAGCAGCGAGCAGCGAGCAGCGTGGAACTGGAAGGCCGCGTGGTGTGGTGCCTGGTGCTTGGTGCTCGGTGCTTGGTGCTCGGTGCTTGGTGCTTGGTGCTTGGTGCTTGGTGCAACAAGACCAACAACGGCCTGCGGGTGCGCGACGATTGTCTCGGCGCGATAGGCAAGATAAGTTTCTGGGCAGGCGCACGAGGAGGCCAGGCCAGGGGATAGCCACGGTCGGTACACGTAAGACGATGGAAGAACAGGTCGGCATGTAATTTACTGTTCCCCGATGTTGTAGTCGGCAGGACCCCGCTGCCCCCATCTGGTCGATGATCAGAAAGTAGGTAGGAGAGTTATTGAGCCTGGACCTGTCAGGAACCACGCCATCATCGCAGATGGGAGGTGGGAGCCGCGAGTCGGGGGCGGGACCGTCTCGGCCGGGCTAGTTTGGTTTTGGGGGGAAGGGGGGGGGAGTAGGGCAAGAGTGGGCGGGACGAGACGAGCATGGCAGGCATGAGGACGAGCCAAGGGACAGGGGGGGGGCAGGCAAGACCAAGGGAACAGGGGTTGCTCTCAGTGGCACGTTCGCTCAATACTCGGTGTCTCCTCCCCCCCTAAACAGCGATAGCGAGCCTGCGAGCCTGTTGGGGTGACCATCGGTTTTTTTTTTAGTGGGCAAACCCTCCTGGATCCCAAAGTTGGCAATCCCAAGCTCTCCTTGGCCTTCCAATCCAACCCCCCTGCCGCACAAAGGAGGAGGAGTAGAAGCCTCGACGCCAATCAACGAACTCTGCACCTCTGCTTGGCATTTGGAAAGGGGGTGAAAAGATGGACACTGTGAATCAAAATTCGGTGGAGATGTCCTCCCGCGTGCAGCATCTGTCCTCGAGGCTCATTCATGGAGGCCTCGCCAGTCAAAAGGACCGTGACGCAGCATGGCCTTGCGCCTTACAGAATGCCATGCGTCGTCGTGGATAACCTGCATTCATAAAGAACAGGTCACATGAGGGCAACGAAGTGAAGCCATACTTGCATGTCTCAGTCCAGTGCCGAGGACCTGAAAAAAAGTCATGTTCCCGCAAGGTCATGGAATGTGGCTGAAGAGGTCCCGATCAAGCTAATGACCCAGGCCGTTCGAACCAGATTCGGGGCTCTCGCTAAAGGAGTAAGGTGTCTTAAGATCACTGCGGTAAGGGGACAACGCTGTGCTACGCTACCACACCGTGGCTGCCGCGCAGAGCAGCGTGCAGGGGGGCCAATTTCAACGGCAGCCCGTCGCTTTCGCCCGTTGAAGAAAAGACAGTAATCACCAGGCCCGGTGGAAATAGCGTCTGCAGGTGAAGCTTTTTTTAGGCCTGGCATACATGTACATACCACAGGGAGAGAGACGATGATCAGCGTGCTTGTCTTAATGCTTATCATCATCAAAGTCTTGAGGGGGGGCCGCCCCTACATAATGCCACAGGACATTCCTCCAGCTGAGCACCTCCACCTGAGCACCTCCCCTGAATCCGAGAACCCAACCAAGCACGAACCATGGACAGCGATTGCTAGACGATTGCATGACACAACAAGAAAGTCGCTGCGAGCACGCACCAGTTTTCATCCCCAGGCCCCCCCTGCCGGCCGCGCCTGGGAGCTTGGGGGGAGTGTCCACTATCCGTCTCCACCACGCCAGCGAAATCACACCTCCCATCCCGACCCATCCGCCTTGGCTTTAGCGCTGGAGATGACGCAGCTCCCTCTCTCTTTTTTCTCCCGCTCCTTTCTGCTGCCGCTCCACACGGCACAGTTGTGCGCTGAGCCACAGTGCTATGTCTGCCTACATGAAGCGGCCGCGCGGGGCCCGCCGTCATCAATCAAACTGTATAGTCTGCGTGGCTTAGCTGGTCAGAGCGTCGGTCTCATATTCATCAATATGACTGGATCATCAGATCTAGATATCCGAAGATCATGAGTTCGATCCTCATCGCGGACAGGTTTCATTTTTGCTCATTCTTTGGTCTGCTACTTTTTGGCCTGTAACTTTTTGGTCTGCCGCCTGGTCGTGTGCCGAAGCCACAACGCGGAGCGCAGGCGCTGGAATTCTGCACGGGACTTGCTTCGGCCAGGGAGAGACACCGGCAGATCACCATCGAAGACACGCGAAGAATGGGGAGAAATAACAGGGGATGGGGAAGGGGGAGGCGGAGGGAGGACGCTGAAGATCGCATTACACATAGTACTCCTCCGGAATGAAGACGGGCGCGCGCGCACACACATCGTCTGTGTATTCTTGGTGCAATGGACCAGACTAACTCACTCCCTTGTGTTGAAGCCCATTTTTATCGTTGCCTTTGCGGGGGTGTTTTTCGCGCCCCCCTTGTTTTTTGCCCTCTTGAGTTTTGTTGCGCGCCCATCGTCAAGTAGATCGTTTAGCGAGCTGACACCCGTTCCCTGTGCCATGTGTATGTCCCTGTGTATGCTCTCAAGATATTTCCCATTATCCCGTCCCGTGAGTGCTGCCGTGCCTCTTTTGCCCCCCTTTTGAAAGATCTGCGAACGCCCGTCAATCCAAGTCGCCCTTCCCGCTCCTCCCCCAATCCCTGCCTACGCCTCCCTTGGGTCGCGTCGTCACATCGGCCCGGGCTCGTACTGGTTCATCAGGCTCCAGAAGCTGTCGCCGCCAAAGTCGCCCTCGAACATGCCCGGCACCATGTGCTGCTGCGCCGGCGCCGAGGGCGGGCTCCAGGCCATGCCGCCACCGACAATGTTGAGGTCGTGCGTGATAATGTCGTTCATGGGGAACAGCGGCGCCATGTTGGCAAAGTCAAAGTTGGCCGGCATGGACCAGTCGGTCGGCACCTGGGGCTGCGGCGGCGGGTAGGCCGCGTCGGCAGCGCCGGCCGGCGGCATGACCATGTGCTTGTCGTCCATGTCGTGCGCGTCCATGGGCGGCGACGTGTCAAAGTTGGTGAGGCCCGTCGAGACCGACTCGCGCGCCGACGCCAGGCTGTCGGCCGTCGACCCGGGCGTCCGCGAGAGGCTCGACGTGCTGCTGCGCGGCGGCAGCTGGTTCTCGATGACCTTGCGGAACTTTTTGTAAATGGCCTGCAGCACGCCGCGCGCCGAGTTGGCCAGCCGGTTGCGGTCCGCGATGGCCTCGAACCGCTCCTGCGTCCATTGGAACTGCTGCAAGGCCGTGCTCGCGAGCTCCATATTCTCCTTGGGGAAGAGGATGTAGATGGAAGCCATGAGCACCACGGCGTCGAAGCTGCCGAAGAAAAGCAGGAAGCTGTGAATGTTGTTGTCAGCTGTCATGATCTGCATGGCGCACATTGGGGGGGGGGGGAGGCCACCTACTTCCTCCACGCCTTGGAATCCATGCTCTGGAACATCTCCATCTGTGCTTGCAATGTGTCGATACTGGCGCGCAGTGCGACCGCCCGGCTCTCTTGCCTGTTGAAGACATAGGGTCGATGGAGTGCAATAAAGTTGAAATGCTGAAGTGGATGGATCCAGAATCGGCACGATTGGAGCCACCAGGAGCAGTCTGGATGGTTGTCCCAGCGCCTGTCCGGGTTGATGAGTCGCAGATAGGCAGGCGTCTCTTCAGCGAGCCTCGAAATGAGGTGGTGGATGCGGTCTACCTTGTCGTAGTTCTTTGGACAGGGCCCATCCTGCTCCAACTCGATGACCTCTGTCAGGGGACTCAGCAGCTTGAAAGACTGCAGCTGCTTCGTGATGGGCGTCGGCGGGTCGCGCTCCTCGTCTCGCAAGACGACCGGTGTCTTTCTTCGATCCTTGGGTATGGGCGCGTCTATCGGCATGCTTGGCTTTGCCGACGCCGATTTCCAGTGTATGGTGCCTGGCCGGCCCAACACGACCCCGCAGTGGACGTCCCTAGGTGCAGTCAGTACGCCGCTGCGCACGAGGGACGAAACCAGATCGTGCCACTTACCACATCATGAGCACCATGTACACCCGTCGCCTTCGTTGAATGAGCCACTGGTTCTCCAAAATGTCCTCTGTCGAGTCGCTGGCTGGCTGCGGATCCAGGGCGTCCTTGTGCATGCCAATCTCCTGCGCATCCTTGATTGCGCTCCCAATCGCATGCCACTTGCAGCATGGTCAGCTGCTGCCTCCGAGAAGCCAAGAGAGAGAAAGAGAGAGAAAGAAGAGAAAACTTACGGATTCTGTCACCTTGCCGACGTGTTTCAAAAAGTTGGCCCGCAAAAAGGTGGTTTGCACGGCGGAGAGCGTCAGGTGCCGTTTGCCGAGCAGATTGAGGATGCTCATGCCAGACTCGCTGTAGTCGGCAGCGAGGTCCTCGAAGCTCATGCTCCCGGCATACTTCAGGTGGTCGTAGAACTCGTGAGGTTCGTCCGTCAAGATGAGCAGGGCGGTGCCGAGGACCTGGAAGAGCAGGGCGGGGAAGACGCGCAGGTCAGGCGACAGCCCCTGCGGCCCCGACGACGACAGGGTGTTGAAGGACAGGTTGTTCCACTCGGCCAGCTGGACGAGGAAGATGTCCTCATCCAAGGGATAGTAGTTGTGGTTGAACTCGCGAAAGTAAATCTTGATCAGCCGCTCGATGTAGCCCTTGGCCGGGAGCTGCCTGATGAGGGACTTGTATTGCTCCTTGATGGCGTAGTGTTCGTCGTCGGTCGGCGGCGCCGAGGCGGACAGGCTCGTGTCGCCGTTGGCGCTTTCGATCTTCTTGAGGAAGCCAATGGTCGAGCCCCCGGACGGCGAGTAGCCCCAGTTGGCGGCGGCGGCGGCGAGGCTCTGGAGTGGTGGCAGCGTCGGCCCGTTGTGGCCCGGTCTGCTGCTGTCGATCGACGTCTGGCCGCGCTCTTTGGCCGTCGGCGCATTGGTTTCGTAGCGGCAGGCGGATTCCTTCTTGCGTGCTTTGCAATTGGCGCAGGGCAGGTCGCGATCGCACTGTCCATGTCAGGTGAGCTTGGGTCGCTGGAGGAGTCGAGCTGGCACAGGCAAGTTGGGGGTGGGACGGGCGAACCTTTTGCTTCCTCCGGTGGCATTCGGTGCACGAGATGACGATGCGCCTGCGTTTCTTGGGCGGCGCTCGAACGTTGGGGGGTACATCAGCCGTGGCATACACCCTGTGGTCCTCCATCTCCATGTCGAGCGTGGTCTATCGACGGGCCGTTGTCGAGCGATTATGTTGCTGGTGACCTGGTCGAGGTGAGAGACGGCGAGGTGAGGTGCAGGATGGAGAATGCGCCGGGCATGGGAATGGAGGCGGGTGGGATCGAATTCGCTTGTCGTCATGTTCGACCCGGAGAAGTGGTTCTTTACGTCCGGCACATGATTCCGCCCCCCCCCCCCCCCTCTCTCTCCTCCCCCTTGGAATTGCCACCCCGCCAACCCACCTTTGCCAGAGCGGACCTCAGCGCGATTATGTAATCTACAGCGGACTGTTGGGAGTTGCTCAGAACTGGAGCCTCACGGTGCAGGTCCATGTACCTAGGTGGTCAAGCTTGTCAAGGTACCTAGGTAAGGAAGTCCAATAAATACCGTGAATGGCATAGATAGGGCCACTATCCTGCATGCAAGGCAACTCTTAACTCCGGCCAGTTGCAGAGATATTGGGCAGCGGACGAGCGCCTCAGATACTGCCAGACAAGGCACATTTCCCAGCCCTATCCAGCTCCACTTCCACTACCTCGAAAGTAAATCTTCACCCAATGTAACAGTAACAGCCAGGCCGCCAAACCTATGCCTCCTTTTAGCCCGGGCGTTAAACCAGGTCCCCTGACGGGACAGCGGGAACAGTCGATGCAGTGCAGCACGCGTCCAGTCACGTCCAAAGTCCGGGTCAGATCCACCCGCACACTTTTTTTTTTTTTTTTTCCTTTCTTTCGCAACACAGCACTCGGCGGCGCCCTGGTCTGGAACAAGCAACCAAAAACATCATGGATACAGCCGAGACAAGCCAAAAAGACAAAACCGTGCCCGGCAGGACTCGAACCTGCAGCCTCGGCCACCGGAAGACCGCGCGCTGCCATTGCGCCACGAGCACGAAGGGACCTGATTGGTGGGGTCATGCTCGGCCGGCGAGAAGGCCGCTTCATATCGCAGTGTTTGCGCTATTGCGTCGAGAGGTCCACTGACGCTGCCGTTGTCCTGGGTATCAGTCCAGCTATTGTCTAGTGCTGCATGTTCTTTTGATATTAAATCTAAAACGTCTGCTTCGGTCATAAACATGCATACCTAAGTACCTATCCAGGTGCGGTCGAAAGCCAACATAAGGCCTCATGGAGACAGATGCCTGACCGCCCGAGTCCTCGACCGCACCGGCTGTAGGTATGTTTGACGCCCAAGTCAACGCCGAACAAAGCATATTCATCATGCAGAACTCGGCAGTCCCCTGGTCATCAGCAAGCATACGATGACGCCATCTGGGATGTGCTCCCGCTCGAATTCGAGCCGCGTGCCATCTGCCTACCGCAGGTAGAGTGCATTCTAACTGCAAATGCGACTGCAACCTCGGGAACTCTAAACGCAAGCACCGCGCCAGCACAGCAATGCCCACAGCAGTCCAAGTCCTCTGCAGAGCCGGTTCAAAGAGAACTCGGTGGAACGCTGGATCCAGGAGCATCCATGTGAGTACGCCACTTGTCAGAACATATGCATGCAGACAGAAAGTCGTGATGCCGAGAAATCCACCAATCAACCCTGCTTCGACCAAGGATAGTAGCAACCCTGCGGGAGCAGACTTTGGATCCGAAAAAGAAAGTCATGACTTTAGATCATCGTGAAGACAATACAGAGTCGAGCAATGAATAGCCCTCAGGGCCCTACATCCGGCATGCCGCTTCAGATGGGATGTCGTGTGGCTCCGTCGGCATCGGATGCCCGGCGCATGCAACGTCCGGGGCAGAAGGGGCGACGAGGGGGGAAATGGAGGGGAAAAAAAAGCAGGGTGATGGTGTTCGGGCGCGGTTCTACCCGGACTACCCACCCGGAGCAAACAGACCCGGTGCAAGGTTGCAACACCAGCGAAGCCTTGGCCGCCAGACCCCGATCTTGACTCGATCTGCAGTGCTCCTACCTACGGTCAACCTAGCGCCCCCTTGTCGATCTGGTCGAGAAGGAAGGGGGGAAAAGGTAGGGGGGAGGGGGGGAACGTCCGATCTGCCGGTCGGTTGAATGAGCCCGATGGCGGGGCACATCGGGGGAGCAACATCAGACGTTCAGGGGTTGCGAACTCTGACGATGCAAGATCAGCAGTAGAAGCAGCACAACACATGGGATAGCGGTGTGCCGATGAGACGCGCAGCTCGAGAAGTCAACAGGTCAAGGTAAGTGGGTCAAGGCTGACGGGCGCCCGAGAAGAGGCATCATAGTCTCCCTCTCTCTCTTTCTCATTGATTTTGGTCCTCTCTGCCAACGCCTGAACAAAGATAGTCCCCCTTTTTTCCCTTTGCCGTTCCGACGGTCTCGGACTGTCTAAATATCGACTGGTTTGCCGCCCAACCCCGAGCCAAAAGTGCAGTGAAAACGGACCCAAACCTTGGAGCAGTAAACAGCGGAACAATGGCAATCATCAACCCAGGCTCACTGATGTGCAGCTAGAAAGGAAAATAACAATGAACATGAAAAATGGGGAAACGAAAACGCGAATGATCAATTAAAACTCCCAGGGGTATTCCATCTTTCCTGTCAAGCCGCCCTCAATTCTGAGCGACGCGCGACAGGTAAGCCTTCCACGCCCTCGTGCGGTATCTCTCGGCCTCGGACTGAGGGTCACCCGCCTTGAGGATACCCCGCCCGACAATCACGATATCTGTTCCGCAGAGGCCGACGAGCTTCTGGGGCGTGTTGTACTGCTGACCCTTTCCGTCACCCGCCACCACGCCGTTCTCCTCCTCGCCTTCCGGAGGCAGCTGGCAGCCGGGCGTCATGTGGATGAAGGCGTCATCGGGCTCCGTGTTGAGGCTTTCTTGCGAGACGTAGCCCATGACAAAGTTTCGGTTTTCCCTCGCCGCCTCGACGCAGGCCTGTGTGTACTCCTGGTTCATAAAGTTGCCAGCGCTTGACATTTGGGCGAGGATCAAGAGGCCGCGCTCCATGGGGGGCTCCTCGATGCCGGCGTAGAGAATGTCGTCGCCAGGCATCTCGCTGCGGGGGAAGCGCGGCGAGGAGGCCGACTCGTAGTGTTGCGTCAGCGTCGTGACAGAGACGATGCTTCCCTTACGGCCCTCCTCTCGGTACCCGCCGCGGGGCTCGTCGGTTGATCGTGGGATGGCATCCTCTTCGTGCTCGTCAAACGTCTCGGACCTCGGCGTGCCGACAGTGACGGACGTCTTGACCTCCGTACTGGTAGCGCTCGCGCCACTTTGCCTCGGCCTCGGCGAGGGCCGTGACGGCGGCCTTGCCGGGAACCATGTTGACGTTGATGTGTGGGCCCACTCAATGATGCGCGCTGACCCAGCAACGTATTGCAGCTGCACCGTGTTGCCGATATCGCCGAATTTCCGATCCTCGAAAATCAGGAAGCCGTGTTTGCGGGCGAGCTGGGCCAGGCGCGCACCGGTGCCGGTTTGCGGGTTGAAGTCCCAGCCGGCCACGACGTCGTGGTGTGTCTTGAGAACGACGATGGAAGGTCCGACCTTGTCGGCGAGGTGGAGGAGTTCGCGGGCGGTCGACACATCAGCGCTGAGGCAGAGGTTGGACGCCTTGAGGTCCATGAGTCGGAAGAGGTAGGCGGTCAAGGGGTGGGTGGCTGTCTGCGCGCGGGCGGCAAAGGTCGCCTTGAGGCTTTCGTGAGGAGACATGGCGGGGTGACGCTGATCGGAAAGAATGCGATGCGATGGTCAGGTTTCGTCGCAGTCGTGGTTTCTTGTCGGAGGCAGACAAAGGGAGGACGAAATTTGGTCCGTCTGCAGAAGAGGGGCAGGTTAGGTGGAGGCGCAGAAGATGGGTCGATATTCCAGCTGACTCGGGCGCGTTTTGCTGTAGGCGGGGTACAGGCGATAGCGATCGGACCCGCAGGGCGCGTGTGATGGAGATGGTGAGAGGGAGGAGAGTGTATGGGGGAAGGGGAGGGGGAGGGGGGGGGGCGTGTATGTGAGAGTTGTGTGCGATGCGGGATGTGGGTTGAGAAAGGGAGAAGGAGGAGGAGGAGAGCAGAGGCAGAATGGTGAGGTGAAGCGAGGCGACGTGAGGTGAGGAAAACCAAGTGCAGTCGGCCCACACAGCGAAGAAGGTTTTCGAGTTAGTCGGGAAACCGTGAAGAACAGAGAGGAAGGAGAAAGAGAGGGGTGGTGGGATCCGGGAAGGAACTAATCTACAGTAAACGGAAGGGCGACCCGAGAGAAAATAAGTACTTGGGGGCACCTTTTTAGGAGGAGTCAGTGTTGGTGTGAGCCCGTACCTACGGGCGTGTTTGTGTGGTGGTGAGGGTGGGGAAGCTGTGAGGTAGCAGCCAGGTACCTAGCTGAAGGTCTGGTCAGGTCATCTCAGGCCAGGCCAGGTCGCCCGCCCTTCATCTTCCAGGTACCTATAACCTACCTAAGGTGAGAGGTGAGAGGTGAGGGGGAGGGGCTAGCAGCTAGCAGCTAGCAGGGGGGCGCGCCAGCACGCTGGACAAGCCAACGACATGGGGCCTTGATGGGGAGGGAGACCGGGGGTTGTGAGTGGTGAGGTCGTTCAGGGTCAGTCCAGGGACAGGGTACATGTAGGTGCCTCGATGCGCCCAGACGCACCTATTCTGGGTGCTTTCTGCCTGCCTACCTTGTCTACCAACCCAACTTTGGGTGCAAGGTCGTACATGTATATTTCGTATGAGGTGTACCTAGGTAGGCCTTCGCTCAAAAAGCCAAGTCCCCTACATGTACACTCATGATTGATGACCGGACTAGTGCCAAAGCAACGGGACGAAACACGCTCCCCATCATGTCTCTCATGACGCTCTTGCTGTACCTTGGTCCATGGCAAATTGCCTGTTTGAGGTGCCAGCCGGCGCACTGGGGTTTCGGAATACTTCTTCTTTCACATCACAAAGACATCCAGCGCGCACAGTAGGGGGGGGGGGGCGGGCGGCACGACCCCAGTCAGGGAGTCCGAGAGTGTGAGAGGCCTCGCCCGGAACGTTCCGCGAGAAAAGAAAAGCAAGCATTTCAAGTCCCCAAGCTCCATTGCCGCAATGTAGCAATGGCACGATGAGGCGTCATAGCAAAATGCCCTACTGCAACCTATCGCGACGACAAAGCACGCTTTCAGCAACAAAACGGGGACTCGGAAACGTCAACCTCAATTTTGTTGGGAGTCCTGGGTGGGGGGAATGGGAGGGGGAAAAGGGAGGGAAAAAGGGGAGGAGGGGGGGTGTTCCGTTCGGCCTCCCAGTCAGACCCAGGGCAAACGAATTCGCTTTCCCCATTCTTTGGATTCCATGGGGATACAACCCGACTGGGGGAACTCGGCGGTGTGATCACGGGT